CCAAACCCAATATGGGTGCCTGAGAAAAACCTTAAATGGGTAGGCAAGGATCCGACTGACTAGCATGACGGTCCATGGACAATAGTTTATGAGACAAAATTCTTCTCTTTATTTGTATCCATCTAAGGTAAAGGACTCAGTTCCTTGGCTTCATTGCCAGTCAGCCTCTTTGACAACTGGCTGATTGGCTAAAAGGTACATGGTCCCAGAAGTATTTCAACTTGTCCTATGCCATGACTTGCTTTGTTTCTCTTGATAGTGCTTATCTTTAAGTGTCTTTACCAGATAATTTAGTGACAGAGGACCCTTGAAACTGCCATGGCCCACCTTCTCTTGATTACAGACTCCCCCAGACCCCTTCCAGTTGCCCACGCTTGGCTAACCAAGTTAGGCAGAGACTAAGACTGTCACGGCTGGCATTACCCACACGGCTGCCCTTAATCATGACACATTTTTAGCCAAAGACGGGTAAGATGTCCCATGACAAGTACTCCTAAGACAGGACATGCACATGGCCAGGTGTATGATCCAATGACAGGCAAGGCTTGATCAGAGGTGACACAACCTAAGACAGGCAAAATGCATAAGATTAGATGAAGGAGATAGCCATCTCTCCTCAGGGAGCCGCCTATGACGGGGGGTAACCTGTGAAATAAAGTCAGTCCGGCCTTAAAATAAAAATTAAAAGGGGGATATGTGGGGACCTAAAGGCCCCACCTTGCATAGGTCTGAAAGGAAGTTACTGGGAGTGCAGCCTGGCCTGACTAGACTCCCTGTTGCTTCTGAGTATCCCCGGGTATTGGGGGAAGTGTGGGCTGGCGAATGGTGTGCTTACTCACCTCCAATCATCACTGCACTGGGGGTCACTGGTTCAAACCCCCAGCAGTTCTCTTTTATATTGGTTCTGGTAGCCTGTTAAAACTCTGGGATATGGCTCATTCCTATGAAAGACTGATGGAGCTTAAAAATCATCATTATGAACTGCTGACAAGAAAAATAGAAAGAATGGAAAATAAGGCTAGTGGACGAAGGGAATGGACAGAAATAAATCTAATAAAATCCTGCTTACAGCATGAAGCAGAATGGGAAGAAGTCTACAGTTTCAGGTATGCTTTCTTAGTATTTTAAAATTTGTTTTCATTGAATTTTTGTGCATTTTATACAGACTATCCCAAAGAATCTTAATCATCTTTATACTGTCTCCAACATGCTTCCACAGCTCCTCCACTGGACCCCATATAGTCTGTCATCTGTATTAAGACCCATGTGTCAAGTCAGTGTCCCCAGATGTTCTCCTGTGCAAGTCTATCCACTGAGGTCTAGTCAGCCTATCCATAGTCTCTTATTTTAGGAAGATCAGCTCTTCCTCACCCAGCAGTAATCAGCTGCAAATATTTTTATTTTATGTACGAGTGTCCTATTTTGTCTCTCCATTGCTGTGATAAAATACTCTGACCACTATCAACTTGGGGAGGAAAGAGTTTATTTATCTTACATCTCCCAGGTCACAGTTCATCAGAGAGCCCAAGGTAGGAACTCAGGGCAGGAACCTAGAAGCAGGAGCTGGAGCACAGGCCATGGAGGAATGCTGCTTACTGGCTTGCTCCCCTGGCCCCTGCTCAGCTTGCTGTCTTATCCAACACAGGCCCACCTGCCCAGGGTGGCACTACCCACAGTGGGCTGGGCCCTCCCACATCACTCTACAATCAAGAAAATGCCCCACAGACATGGCCACAGCCCAGTCCAATGGAGTCAATTCCCCAATCGAGGCTCCCTTAACCCAGGTGTATTAAACTGACACTAAAGCTATCCAACACAATTGACCCCTTGTCAACTTGACACACAAACACATCACTATTAAACCATAAGCTTTCCAATTCTTGTCCCCAAGATATGATGTTAACATTACTATCACAACATAAGACAGTACAACCTTAAAAACCCCACAGTCCTTAAAAAATCCAAACACTTAAAAGTCCATAGTCTATTTTAAAAGTCTCAACTGTGGGTGGGCTTCTGTAAAATCCAAAACAAGTACTGTCTTATTTTAAAGGGAAGAGTCAGGCACACTTAAGCAAAACCAAAGTCCAGCAAAATAGCTCGAGGCTGGACATCTAGGATTCATTCACGATCTTCTGGCCTCCAAAGGGTACTGGCAGCTCCATTTCTCTGACTCTGCAGTCCACAGAGTCAGCTCGTCTCGCAGACCCAGGCCAGCTCCATTCCACACCTACTGCGGTCCTTGGTGATTGTCCCACAGTCCTCACATCTCCAAAAAGCTGGGGTCTCCACTGAAACTGAGGCTACACCTTCACCAATGGCTTCTTCTTGCCTCTCTGGGTGCAAAGCCTCAGATTCTCTCCATGATCCCTTCAGTCCTGGGGTCTTAACTGCAACTGAAGCTGCACTTTCATCTATAGCCTTTCTTGGCCTCTCAGAGTGCCAAGCCTCAGCTGCTCTCTGCGACCCTGTTGTGCCCAGTTCACGAGACCCCAAAGACCACCAAGGAGCTGACTGATGCAAACACACAAGGGTTCTTTTACTGTTGCAAGCTTAAGCTTGGGTCCACTCTGTCACCAACTCAGCGGATCTCAGATGTGAGACCCCTTGCTTTGGGAGACAGAGGTTTTTATAGGTTTATTTCAGCAAGTTCAGCAAGTAGGGGAGTAGGGGGTCTTCATCCTGGCAAGCATCTGATTGGTGGCAGCTCAGTGCCAAACCATAAACTGCTGGCTTCAGGAAATCTGAAAAGATATCTGGACTTTTAGTACTTTCCTATCCCTGGTTAATTGACCATTGGCGGGGGAGTTGTTCTCTATCCATTCCAAGTATTAGACCTGTTGTTTGCATAGTTGGGCCTTTTTAGCAGAGGCCTGATAGCCCAGGCTTCCCAACGTCTGCAACAGGCATTCTGTGCTGCCCATGCAAGCCTCTTGGCTTTCTTCCACCATAAGTAGGTCATCCACATACTGCAAGAGACTCCTTTCCCCCAATGCTATCTGTCTCAGATGCCTCTGCCGGTCCTCTGGATCTGCAGTGGCAGCTGGCAGGATCCTTGCCAGGTCCTTGTTCTGCCTTCTTTCTGCCTTTATCTGTTTTTTTTTTTCTCTGCACTATCCCTATTATTGTACACTTTCTTGGCCACAGTTATTAAATCCCTTAAGCTGTTTTCATCCAGTCTCTCTACTCTTTGGAGCTTTTTCTTTATATCCAGAGCTGACTGGTTAACAAAAGCCATGGCCACTGCTGCTATATTATCCTTGGCCTCCGGGTCTAATGGAGTGTACCTGTGGAAGACATCCGTTATTCGCTCCAAGAATGTGACTGGGCTTTCATTTAGTTCCTAATATCATATACCTTTGCCAAGTTAGTTGGCCTATGAGCAGCTGCTTTGAAACCTGCCAACAGAGCCTGGTGGTAAACCCTTACCTTCTACAGTATTATAATCCCAATCAGGCTGGGTCAGTGGATAGGCAGCATCAATCAGTGTCTGGTCAGTAGTAGGGACACCAGTATTGGCAGGAATTAACTTCCTGGTTTCTGTTTGGATACGTTCCCTTTCTTCTGTGGTAAACAGGACCTGTAATAATTGATGACAATCATCCCAAGTGGGTTGGTGTGTGAATAAGACAGGTTCTAATAAATTAATAAGATCCTTAGGATTTTCAGAAAAGGGAGCATTCTGAGTTCTCCAGTTGTAAAGGT